ACCAATATCACTTTTATAATGTTATGAAATAAACTCTAGCAGATATGTAGCTTAAAAATTGGGGGTATGGCACCTTGACATTTTTTGGTTCAATAAATAACTCTTTTAATGGATTAACACTTTCCAAGAAGCTAAACTCACTCTTCTTCTTTATATATTTTTACTGACGTGTGGCAGTTAGCTTCTCATAAAATCGCTGTGGCATAAAAAAACATTTATTTCACAGATGCCTGAAGGCTTCAACTAAATTGGCCTACCTCTGATCTTGTCTGGGCTCATTCATGTATCTAGGGGATGGGCTTTGAGTCAGCTGGTCTAGGCTGGGCTTGGCAGGGTGACGGGGTTCAACTCCATGTGACCCTCATCTTCCTACTCCTGGGACAATGAGCTAGCTGGGCCTATCCTCATTGTGATGACAGAAGCACAACAGAGCAAGCCCAGATTTTCAAGCTCCCTCTTGCATCACATCCATTGTTATCCCATTGGCCAAAACAAATCAAATGGCTAAACTCAAAATCGAGGGATGAGAAAATATACTCTGCCTTCCGATAGAAGGAATAGCCATGTCACATGGCAAAAAGCACAGGCACAAAGATGGCTGAAAAATCGTCAGTCAATTATCTGTTTGTTTCAACTATTTAGTTCTCTCATAACAGGGGCCTACCTTACAATCCTAAAAATTCAATAGAGCCTGGCCTTGTAAGGAATACATATGGGAACATTCTTAAAGCCTTAAATTGCAAAATATAGCACCTAATTTCTGTCATAAAATTTAGAAAAAATAATTAGTAGTTTGAGGATCATGAGTTTACAGATTCTACAGGTTGGGTTCGGAGCAGTTAACTGAATAATGTATGACCATATGTTTGAGAGGACTGATCTCTGAGTCCTGGCCCAAGGTCTTTTCCCTTTTCACCTTGAGCATCAGTTCAGAACACTCAGGTTATTCTTGATGTAGGAACAGCAGAGGACGGTTTTGAAATCAGAGCACAGAGCTACATGTAATTCATAGGAAGGATTCACTCTGAGTAATAAATGTGTTTATTCCCATTAAGCCTATAAACACTGATTATAGGCATATAATTATAGGCATATATGTTATTACATGACAAGGTTTCAGGAAATTTGTAAGGATTATGACAGGCATCATTTTCTTAAATAAGCATCGCCCTATCACAATTGTTTTTTCAAGTGGCTAATTCTAGGAAGGTTTTTAAATCCTGTCTTTATTCCATTTTTTGATGTAAATCGTTTAGGATAATAAAGTACAATGAAGTTAAGATGAGTGCTATTGTCTGAACATTTGTGACACCCCTTTCCCCCCAAATTCATATGTTGAAATCCTACTGCCTAAGGTGATATTAGGAGCTGACATCTTTGGGAGGTAATTGGGTTACAAGGGTGGAGTCCTCATGATGAGATTAGTGCCCTTATAAGAGAGGCCTGAGAGGGCTCCCTCTACCTTCCCCAAGTGAGAATACAAGAAGTCGGCAGTCTGCAATTGGAAGAGGGCCCTCACCCGACCATACTGGTACTACTGTAAAATTATCATTTTTACCTCTGTAATTCAAAAATAATCTGTGATGAGATGATTTAAGGTGATAAATGTCCTATTTCCATTTAGCGTCTATTGATGAATCTCACCTGAGTTGATTATTATTGTGATGGCTATAAAATGGCGATTTTCTTATGCTATCTATTCAGAACATAGAAAAAAATTCTAGTATTTTACTTTGATATAATAGGGAGCCCAATCTTGTTATATTTACATAGTCTGAACACTAAGATTTAAGAAACTTCCTAAATTCAACATCAAAATTTTTTCTTTGTGTTTATTAACATCAGAATTCTCTTATTTCCTCGTTTTAGTGATATTTTATAATGACGATTCTTCTTATTGTTTATTAAATGCTTACTCTGTGCCACGCACTGTGGTGAGCATTTATAGTTTCTCATTTGGTCCTCATAGTCCCTAAGAAATAGGTACTATTATTGTCTCTATTTTCCAGGTGATACAATTGAGGATCAGAGAGGTTAAAAACTTGCCTAGGGTCACAGAGCTAGTTTGCCCTGAAGAACTGCTGTTGCATCACCCATCATTATTTGTACTATAAAGTAACCAAGGGGAAGAAACTGATCTGCACTGGGAATGTGATCAGTGCCTTTATCTTCCATTCCTAAGGCCAGCTGTATTGTTACATATCCATTGTCTTTCATTGCAGCCACGGCTGGAGTATTTACTAGTACTTTGAGGTGAATTCTGCCTCCTGATGTGAAATGGAGTAAAAGGAAGTGTGTGGTAGCACAATGCAGTGGTTTTGAAATACTATCAGGAGAGATTTTTTTTTTCTTTGACTTAAGATTTTGGATAACTTTTTTCCCCTAGTTTTACAGAGATACAATTGGCATATAACATTTTATTAGCTTAAGGTGTACAACATAAAGATTTAATATTTATATTCCAAAATGATTACCACAATAAATTAAGTTTATGTCCATCACCTCACATAGTTACAATTTTTTTTCTTGTGATAAGAACTTTTAAGAACTACTCTCTTAGCAACTTTCAAATATACAATACAGTATTGTTAACTATATTCACCATGCTGTACATTACATCCCCAGAATTTATTTCTCTTATAACTCGAAGTTTGTACCTTTTGACCATCCTAACCCCCTTTGCTCACACCTCAGTCGCCCCATCACTGGCAGCCACCAATCTGTTCTCTGTATCAGAATTCTCTTATTTTCCTCCTGTTTTAGTGATAATATGATGTCTGGTTTTTTTAGATTTCACTGGATGAGTTTTCTTTCCCCATTGTTCCTTAGAGGGCTGAGCAACATTCAAGCATGAAATAGTAAGGTTCAAATGTTGAAATCAGGATTATAGGAGGAAAATGTGGTGAAGGAAAAGAATAGGAGAGTAGAGTAAAGGGAGGAAAAAGAAGAAGGGATGGTATTCCCAGTGGTAAATTTGAATGTAAACTCCGTAAGGTGAGGGACTTTTTTATTGCTCTATCTAGAACATGTAGAATAGAGTCTGGTACATAATGGGGACTCAGTATATTTGTTTAACAGATCGTGGGATCATGGTGCTACTGTAGTGTAGATGGCCCAGTGAATGGCAGCTGAGGATGTGCACCCATTACATTTCCTTCATGAAAGAATTTACCATTCAGTTGTAGAAGTGCAGTTGGCTGGCAGCCTCCAGCTGGTAGCACCTTTAGGCTCTGCCTCAGCTTTTAAGCAGAAACCACAATCTTGCCAATGATGAATGTAGAGGCGGGTATTACTGTCTGGCCCTTTTTGCCGAACATGATGTCCTCAAAGGAGCACTCTTTGCTTCAGAATTCACTGTTGGGTTGGCTGAGACCCTGTCAGATGTCCATTACAGTTTGAGGCTTTCTGCTGAATCCTGCTTCCTCTTTCTTTATCTTTCAAAGACCACCCCCATAAACCTCTGCATTTCTAACTCCATTTCCATGTTTGCTTCCTGAAGGATCCAAATAACAAAGGTGTGACAATTTGCCTTGAAGCTTCATTATCACCTTGGTCTAGGACAAACTGTCAGGTTCTGATTTGTTCTGGGTGATAATTCAGTCTTCCCAGGTCTCAACAGTCTTTGTGGTAAAGTTATGTACCCAACTCTCAAAGACAGTGTTCATTAAAGTCTGTGAACTGGTGTTAGTCCATGAACTATTTGTCATTACCTGTCTACAACAAGATGAGTGCAGAAATTGAAATAATTATTTAGCAACTTTTATGGGAATTTGGCATTGCTGCAACAACCGTAATATGTGAACTAGTTTTCTTGAATGGGGTATGGATTAGTTTGGCTGTTGTTGAACTCACATGGTGAGTCTCATGTTGTGTGATTTGTGCACTAATCATGTACAGTGAGACCACATTGCACCTTGTGATACTTTAAAATTAGTTTGGCAATTGTGACCCTAGAAATGTATAAAATTGCTTTGGTAAATAGAAAATTTAATTTTCAAGAGAACGTTAAAGATTATTGTTAGAATTGGCAATTGATGAAGGATTGAAGATGAATTCTGAAAATATATCATTTATTTCATTTCAGATAACAGTTAAAAATAAATATTATTAGCTTGCTGAAATTACTTTAAAAACTCTTCTTTCAAATATTGTATGTCAACTGTAATTAAAAAAAAAAAAACCCAAAACTCTTCTTTCATTCCCATCAATTTATTTCTATGAGACTAGTTTCTCTGCTATCTGTATAAAAACAAAAGAGAAACAGTTTAGATACATTACCCCCTAGCACAAGCATTTTTAATCCGGCTAGGTTAGAATAACAAACAAGAAGAAAGCTCAATGCTACTCAAAAAACTTTGGGTATTGACATACAGAATGTTTGTTCAAAGCTTTTTGCTAAACAACGGTCGTGGAGTAATAAAAAGTTTGAAATGTAAAAAATGATGCTTACCGCTTATACTACATTTTCATTGAACAATACGTGCAATTTTCGTAAATTTATTCCTTTTACATTCGTTCTGATTGTGTTTACTAAATGTAACTTTATTTTTAATAATGAAAAACCTGGGCTGGTATTTTGTCTATCTTTCCTCCGTTTTTTTGAGTAATTCATTTTTACTGTATTTTACAAAAGTATCTCTTACCGATAGATTGGAAAAATAAAGACCCTGTCTTTAATCACAGATAATTTGGGAAGCTGCTCTTTTGGAAGAGGCTCATTTTGAGGGGGATAAGGGGAGTGTAGTAGGAACCAGTACCTAGGAATGAACTTAAGTGAAAGTTAAAACCTGAAAAATGCTTTAGTAACTAACATTTTTTTTTTCTAGTTAAATACACTCACCTTGTATTTGGGGGTGTTGGACGAATACAAATCTAGAAAAAGGTACGCATTGTCTCCCCGAAACTCCTCTGCAACTTTGTCCAGAAGCACTTTATAGAACCACCTTTGAGAGGGGAGAAAAAAGGGGGCGGGGCGAGGGGCGTGAGGTCATCATAGAGCGCCGCTGGAGCTGTGAGCAGAGCAGGCGCTTTATTAACGTCACCAACAAGCGACTGTTTTCCGGGAGACTGGAGTAGAAGGCAAGTGAGTAATTATTCAAAGCTGGGGTTTGAATTTTTCTCGTGCTTCTGCATAAGTCCCCTTTTTTTTGTTTTGGGGTCCCTCTTTCATCCTTCCATTGGCTGTGAGGAGCGAGGTCGGACCTTGTTGTCTTTAGGGAATGCGAGCCACCTGAACCTTGGAGACAGCATCGTTACAGGACCCCCACTTCTCATTCTGTGGCTGTTTGCAGGTTTCGGCTTACCTGGGCCCCTCACGTCTCTCTCTTGGTCTGGACTTTCGCCTTTTCCTTTCCTTTCTTTCTTTTTTTTTTTTTTTAACGCCTACAGCACCTGGTGTTCCCAGGTGGTCTCCCATCCAAGTACTAACCAGGCCCAACCGTGCTTAGCTTTCGAGATCTGATGAGATTGGGCACGTTCAGGGTGGCAAGCCTCAGACTCTTCAATTCTTAACTCTAGCTCTCAAATATTGGAAGGTGGAGAATTTAAAAAAGACATGACTTAACAATTAACTTTCAGAGCTGCCTTCAAACCTTGTTTAGGAGAAAGGCCTAAGGGAAAGGCATAGGGGATTGACTTTCCTATGTCATCCACTCTTATCATGCACATTCATAATCACGAACTGCCTGCCGTTTCTATATTAGCCCACCTGAGATGGTGGACTAATTTCTACCTTCGGTTGCAATCTATAGTGGATAATTTCAAGAAAGTCGTTTTACTTTATGGCCCAGGAATGTTCACTGTGATTCAAACTTCTGTTCTCTGTTCAAAAGATCTTTAATGTCTTCTTGTTTGTTAACTGCAGTTCATTTTGTCTTAATAGAGATGTATCTGTCCCATTGAGATGTTTGCTGCCCACTTTTTAACCTATTTGGACTGTGATAGCAGTAGACTGAACCGAGACTTAACTGTATGTTGACATTGGATCTGAAAATAACCAGATAACCCCTACCGAAATTCAGAGACTCGTTTGTGATTTGTTGAAATGATAGAACTCGTTTTGTTGAAAGATAAAATAATGACAGTGTGAACAGTAGTTTTTCAAAATAATCAAAACAATTCTCAGTCAAAAGATGTTACAGTTGCCTTCAAATACTTGTGTTGTATATTATACAGTTCAGAGTTGATAGTTTTTCATAACTGCTCTTAACTTTTTAAAGGGCTGTTCATACGTGTTATCTCAATTTCTAAAAAAAAAACAGTTGACCCTTCAAATATGGCTCTAAGTAGTCCACATTGGATTAGGATATTTGATCATTTTATTATTACAAATGTATTGAGTGCTAATAGCTTTACCTATATCATTCATTTAATCCACACAATAGTCCTGTATGCTGTTATAATTATTTTAGAGATGAGACAATGTAATAAGCAAATCCCATGGTTTTAGAAGGCAGTTTTGCAGCTTTATATTTATAATTTTGAAAACATTTCAAATTAAACAAAATTAAACAATAGAAATAAATTCATTGTAATCCAGTGTAATTATTCATGTCAAACTTGAGTAGCCTCTTTATAAGTAATATCTTATTTTATTATCAGACTTTGGGATAAATTTGTTTTTAGAGGTTTATCTTTTCCCAGGGATTTTACTGTAAGTCTGAAGGAGAATTACAGGTGACACTAACATGAACTGTCTGCCAAAGACAGTAATATTTACTGAGAGATTATTTGTACATTTCACTATTTTCTAAGATAATGCAGTGCAAAAAGTCATTACAGTAATAGAATTCTGGTGCAACATCTGCATATGTCTCTCTTAGTTCCAAAAAGAATTATATATTGGATTTGTTCTCTACTTCATAATTATGTATAACTACTTGTTATAGGGATGGAAACAGACCCAGAATGTACATTATCTTGTTTTTGATCCGTGTGGTGACTTCCTAATATTTATAAGTCGAAACTCCAATCCGATATTAAGATTCTTCAAAATTTTGTTCCAGTTTATTTTCATTGGTTTTAACCAGTTAGCAAATAGTTACTAAGTACCTAATATGTGGCAAGATATCGTATTAGTCATATGGAGATACAAATGTCATGCAGCATAAATCTTGCCTTGAAGGAATAGCCTAGCAGGTAAATAACCAGTGGAAAGTTCTGAGCAGAAGAGTGACATGATCTGATTCAAATTTTTAATGGGATCATTCTGGCTGTCTTAAGAACAGATTGTTGGAGGTAGGGTAGGAGAACTAATTAGGAGACTAATTAGGAAGGTGTTTTAATAGTTCAGATGAGATGATAATGGCTTCACAAGGTGGAAAGAAGTGAATGTGATGAGTAGTAGTTCAATTTTGGATTGAGCAACTAGAAGGGTGGAATTGTCATTAACCGAGAAGTGGAAAACTATGGGAGGAGCAGGTTTGTGGGTGAAAGTTAGGAGTTCAGTTATGACGCATTAAGTTTGAGATGTCTGTTAGCAGCCAAGTGGAGGTGTTGAGTAGGCAGCTGAGTCTGTCAAGTGTGAAATTCATTGGGGAGGCCATCGCTGGAAAAGAACATTTGGGAGTTGTCAGTGAACAGATGACATTTAAAATCGTGACACTGGAGATAATCACCAAAGAAGTGAATGTAAACAGAAAAGAGAAGTAGTAAAAGACCTGAGTCCTTAGGCATTTTAGCCATTATAGGTTTGGGGAGATGAAGAACCAGCAAAAGAGACATAATGAACAGCTAGTGAGGAACAAGGACGATTTGGAGAGTCTAGTGTTGTTGAATTCAAGGTGAAGTGGAGTGTTCTGTTTTGTCAAACGTAGTTGATGGATCAAGTAAAATAAGGATCGACACCTTTGGATTTATCAAGATACACAAGACAGTATTATTGGTGGATATATGATGACTAAGTCTGGAGAACCTTAGGAGCAAAGAGGAAGAAGAGACTACTTTTGTTTGGGCGATATGGAAGCCTTTTTATAGAAGAGGGGGCATTTGATATGGGTTTTAAAGGATTGATAAGGTTTCACTAGGCCCAGAATTAGGGGAGGGGTATGAGGAGGGGTATCCAAACAGAAGTGAAAGCCTCACTTCTCCTCCTTCAAGGCCATACCTCCCAGTCAGCTGGTTTGAAGATGCTTTTGCATATCCTTGTCTTTCTTCTGTGCCCACTAGCCAATTCCTTGTAACCATTCTTGTTCCAGGCCTATTGAACACTGCTAAAGAAGTTCACAAGACGCAAATTAATGCTACCCAGCCTCAACTGGGTCTTCTTTAAATTGCCTGACAATTCCTTTATTCCTCCTCTCTTCCTTCTATCAGTGAAGAAGGCTGATAGGAAAAAGTTGATTTATTTGAAATATGATGTTGGAGGATGCCTTGGACCACCAGAAAGACACACAAGTGGGTCCTGGAGCAAATAAGCGTGCAACATTGCTGAAGGCAAAAATGACAACTGAAGCTGTCCCACTTTGGACACGTCATAAGAAGGAGAGTTCTTTGGGAAAGACATTAATGTTGGGAAAAATAGGAGGCAGCAGGAAAAGAAGACCAAACACGAGGTGGATTGACTCCATAAAAGAAGCCAGGGGCATGAGTCTACAGGAGCTGATCAGGGCAGTTAAGGACAGGACACTGTGGACATCACTCATTCTCAGGGACCCCAGGAGTTGGAGCCTTTAAGAAAACATATGCATATACAAATATGCCTCCACACTCATATGTGTTTTATTTCTTAAAAACAAATGGATGTATTATATATCCTGTTCTTAAATTTTTGTTTACTGTAATATATCTTAGGAATCTAAGCTCTACATATTTTTTCATTGTCACAGAGTTTTTATATTGAATGAGTATATCGTAATTTATTTACCTAGTCCTTGTTAATGGACACATAGGTTGTTTCCTGCTTTAAAGTTTTAATGTTTTAAAGAGTGTTGCAGTGAATGTCTTTGAACATTATCTTGTGGGAAAGTAGACATTTTGAGAAGTTAAATTGCTGGGTCAAAGAATTTGTACATATATAAATTGAAGCATAGTACTTCAGTTTTGAAGCATAGTGCCAAGTTGCCCCACAAAAACGGTCAGTTTACACCAATTCATAGTGAATGAGAGGCTGTTTTTTTCACCTTTGCCCATACCAGGTACTATCAATCTTTTAAATTTTTGCTTATTTGACATGAAAAATGGCATCTTGTTACGTTGATTTATGTTTCTGTAATTACAAGCAAGATCGACTAACTTTATGCTTATTAGTCATCTGGATTTCTTTATGCGTGAACTGCCAATTTTCTTTGTTCATTTTTCTTTTGGGTTGCTATGTTTTTGTTTTGTTTTGTTAACTTGATTTGTAGAGGCTCCTTTTATCTGTCTTTATGTTGCAAATATTTTCGCCTAGTTTTTCATTTGACTCTAAACTTGGTTTGTTGGTTTATTTATTTATTTCCTCATGCATGCATTTTTATAAGGGCCAGGTAAAAATATAAGACATCAGGATTTCTATTTGTGGGGAAGGAAATTTGTGACATTCTTAATTAGATACCCTTGAATGTCAGCCTTTGTTGGAAATGTAACCCAAACCTCATTTGAAGCTACAGGCTTTGTCTTGTTTTCATGAGTTTTGTTTATCAACTGTCACAGACTTGGTAGCACCCAGTAACCTACCTTTCCAATTATATTTGGGATTGAGGTGAGATGTAATTGAACTGCTTAAGTATTCTAGAGTGTATATTTAGGTATCCCCCAATTTATGAACTGAGTTGCATTCTAAAAGTTAATTTGTGAATTAGCTATCTAATTTTACTATGGAAATAATGTACATAGGTTTTTTTAATCTTTTCTTTCAAAATGTGATTAATCCATGAAGACTAGCTTTTTTAAAAAACAAATTCAAGATGTTATGTAATTTTAACCCTATGTATTTCAGTTTCATCTTTAAATTATAGGGACATTTTCTGATATAATACTCTTTCCATAGATGACAAAATTATCAATAATTTCTTGGAGTCGTCTAATATTCAATCCATGTTTAGATTTCTTCTTAAAAATATCTTTTTACACTTGGTTTTTACACACAGTCTCTCTACATT